CCCCATCCCACCCTCTCAGCCCGCTTCCCGTCTCCCCGCCCTCGCCCATGCACTTCCTCATCATCGTATTCACGCCTCCTCGTCCCTCTCGTTCTGTATTATCGTTCATACCTTTCTCTCTATCTCTCTCTCTCTCTCTATCCCTCTCTCTCTCTTTCGTTCTCTCGCTCTCTCTCTTGTTCGCCCTCTCTCTCTCTCGCTCTCTGTCTCTCTCTCTCTCTCGCTCTCTCTCTCTCTCTCTCTCCCTCTCTCTCTCTCTCTCTCTCTTATAACTCCAGTCACGTTGCCATCCCGTCCTGCTCCTGCGTCTCACCCCGCCCGCTCCGACATGACGTATCGTCCACCTCTCATTTGTCCCCCCACCCCGCACTTCGCGTTGTTCTCATTCGTATCCTGATCCTCATCCTCCTCCTCCACCTTTCCCTCGTCCGCCTCATCGCTCCTCTCGGCCCAACTCCCCGTTGTCGTCGCTATCCTCATCGCATCGGCTGCGTCGGTTATCATCGCGCCGCTGGCGTCGTCGAACTCACCGTCGCCACTCGGCCCTGGCTCTCCCCCATCAAAGCGGTGCCCCCCGTGGGCCTGGGATGTGCACTGCGCGAACAGCGTGCGCCGCTTGCGGAAGTCCTTCATCCACTCGGGCGCCTTCACGGCGAGCTTCTTCTTGTTGCCGTTGCCCTCGCCGTCGCCTCCTTTGCCGCTGGCGGCCTCGTTCCCAGGACCGCCCGTCGCTGCTGCGGCTGCCTGCTTCTCCTCGCTGGACGCCTCGGCACCAGGGCGCGGCAGCGGAGTGCATGGCACGCTGGCCACGCCATCGGCGCCAGGAGGTGGCTGGCCGCCGACGCAGCCCGACTCCATCCAGACCTCGTGGCTGGTCCAGCTCTGCTGCCACGTGTCCCCCAACGAGTGCTCCACGTAGAGGTAGAAAAGGCAGTCCGTCATGTTGCACCACTTCGTGAAGATGCCCCCCATTAGCACTGCCTTCCCAGCATATGTGCATGCCAGCTTGGCACCAGTGGACCCCCCGCCAAACTTCCACGCCAGCCTGGCCAGCGGCATGTAGACGCCCTTCATCGTCTGCTTCTTGATGTTCGTCTGCGTCTTGCTGAACTCCCGCTTCTTCTGCCACCTGTGGAATGACCACTTCGCCCACTCCTCGCGGACCGCCTTCTTGGCTGGGTAGCCCTCCGCCGCCAGGTACTTCTCAGACCATTCGTTCGATGTCTCCATCACTCTGGCCCATCTGCCCGCGATCGCGTTGCCCTTCTTCTTCTCCGTGCTGAACTTGAACGCCTTCTCCTCCCAGGACTCCCACATGAGGCGCTCCTCCCTGTCAAGAGCCGACTCCTTCGGGTCGGCGCCGAAGTCGTCATCCAGAGGCTTCTCCGCGGTCTCAGGGCGCCCTCGCATTTGCGCGAGGCAGCTGCTCACTGCGACAGGGTCTACCTCTGCCCTAGTTGCAGCTCTTAGCCTTTTCTCCCTGTTCCTCGTCAGTCTAGTCTCCTCAGCTCAAGCCTTTATGCCGTTTATAATACTGAGTGATTTGCCGGGCCTAGCCGCCTCTATGTAGGTGTTTTCTGATTTCACTATCGAGGCGCTAGTTGTCTATTTCTGCATACGATCCCATTGAAGGCCCTTGTAGGAGTTTCCTGGAAATAGTTAAAGTTTCTTTGCCACATTCTTGTCCAAGTCGCACCCTGATTTGTTCGGATGCGACCTCAGCTCTATAAATCTCGTTCGTCTTCTGCTTGAGCTTTCTCCACCAGCTGCTTCCTTGCTGATTATGCCGGCAGTCGGCAGTTGCCATTCGAGAGGTGCCCGACGGCTCGCCTATCTGGTCGATATTGTATGCCTGCCCATTCGTCGCATATACTCCAGCCACTTGATGTGGCTGCTCTCGATTGGCTGCTGCAGGCGCTGGTCCACCAGCTGCGGCGGCGCCGTGAGCGGCCGCTGCGAGCGCGGATGCGCTGGCACGCGCTCCTCCGCGCGTGGCGGGCTCACGAGGCGATTACTCTGCCACCTCTTGGACTTCATGGTCTCCACTTGCACATCGTCTGTCAGCGACCGCTTGAAGGATGGCAGCACTGGCGTCTCCTGCTCGTCCGACGTCTGCTGCGAGAGCCCGAGCGGCAGCTGCGAGCCCGAGTCCGCTGGATTGTACGATGGCGTGTCCTCCAGCTGCGGCGTCTCTGGCGCTGGTACCCAGCTCGCTGACCTCGGGCGCGACCTCGGCGAAGTAATGGCAATAGCTTGCAGCGGCTCCTGAGGAGACCAAGCGAACGCAACAATCACTGTGGTCATGGGCTCCTCGGGTGAGGAGCCCACCACCCGACCAGGTCATGTTGCTGTCCGTTTGGCCCTCCTGTCCTCGTCCGAATCGATCTGCCCCACCGAGGGCGTGGGCGGAGGCGGGCCAGGGGGCGTCCCAGGACTCGGGGCGGCCGGGGGCGGCAAGCTGCTCCTCGGCTCCTCGGTTGGCTGCATCTTCGCTGCGCGCCGCTCCTCGGCTGGCTGCATCTTTGCTGCGCGCTGCTCCTCGGCTGGCTGCATCTTCGCTGCGCGCCGCTCCTCGGCTGGCTGCATCTCTGCGCGCTGCTCCTCTTCTGGCTGCATCTCTGCGCGCTGCTCCTCGGCTGGCTGCTTCTCTGCGCGCTGCCCCTCGGCGGGCTGCTTCTCTGCGCGCTGCTCCTCGGCGGGCTGCCGCTCCTCCGGTGGCGACGCCTTGGCGCGCAGGTGGTGCACCGCAGCAGCCGCGCCCTCCTGGTATGGCAGCGCCTGGTCCAAATCCATGGCGTCGAACTCGTCATGAAACTCTTGCTCAGTCATGGAGCGATCGCGGGCGTCCTGCATGGCGTCCTGCACCAATGTCTCGATGCCCTTGCCAGGGTTGGCGCAGGACTCGACCTCCGCGCCCGAGCCCTCGATGACAGCGCCGGCTGCCGCCTGGGGGGGCGGGGCAGTGCTGGAGGGAGGTGCTGTGTAACCGTCATGCTCTCCATCATCATCATCCTCATCATCATCATCCTCATCATCAGGATCGTCCTCCTCATCATCATCATCCTCAGCATCCACATCCTCACCCCTGCATCCTCCACATCGGGCTCGATTTGGGCCCGATTTGGACGCGTCCGAATCGGATCCAAATCGGCCCAACACTGCACCCATGCGTGCTCCACTCGGCACACCCAGTACAGCGCGCAAGGCGCCCACCACGTGCGCCCACGGGCGCCCACCAGGCGAAACCTCTGCAGACCCACCCCGCACCCCCGCACTCGGAGCCCCCACGAAGCGCCCGCGCACGTCCAGGAGGCGAAACCTCGGCGGGATCAAGTCGGGCATGTCCCCCTGCAGGCGAATTTCGGACAGAAAATGACGTGGGGCAAACCTACTCCTGCGCACGCAGGTATATGGATTTGAAAACGCACTATAACATCTCTACACACGTATAACGGTACGCCGTGAACCCTATACAACTAAATAAACAAATAAGTACATGCACACATAAATACGTGAATGTATCAAAATATACTGTAAGTTTATTTATAAGTGGCTACACATTTAAATACATATCGTGCGTGCACATACATAACTACATATTTATATGTACGCCCGCGGGCCTCAACGAGCGACTCCACGCCCGTCAGGGTTGCCTTGGAGGTGGAGGAGGAGGAGGAGGAGGAGGAGGAGGAGGGGGAGGAAGAGGAGGAGGAGGGGCAGCAGGAGGATGAGGAGGAGGCCAGCATACCACGACGACGACGACGGCGACGAAGACGAGGACGACGACGACGACGATTGCGACGACGACGACGACGACGACGACGACGACGACGACGACGACGACTGCGACGTAGGAGGAGGAAGAGGAGGAAGAGGAGGAGGAAGAGGAGGAGGAGGAGGAGGAGGAGGCGGAGGAGGAGGAAGAAGCGGAGGAGGAGGAGGAGGAGGCGGAGGAGGAGGAGGAGGCGGAGGAGGAGGAGGAGGGGGAAGAGGAGGAGGAGGAGGAGGAGGAGGAGGAGTAAAGGGAGAAGGGTTGGCCCGCGCGTCGCCATCGGCTCGTCGTGCTTCACGCGGATCACCCAGTGGCGGATGTCCCTATATTGGTCGCCCTGGGGCGACCTGCTCATCCCTCGAGCCACAAGGGATCTGGAGACAGAGGCGAGTGAGAAGAGGAGGCGAAGACGAAAACGAAACATGGGGGGCATCTACGGCATTGGGAGGCATCCAGGGCAACATGGGGGGCATCTAGGGCAACATCAACATGGGGGGGGCATCAAGGGCAACATCGGCATGGGAGGCAGCATCGGCATGGGGGCAGCATTGGCAAGACGGACGCCATAAGAACGCTGATCATGCTTATCGCACTCGTTTGTTATGATATACCTGTTCAATTCCCTCATCTGTCTCCCGCCTCCCAGGGGTGGCTCTAACGATTAGGAGGAGTAGGAAGGGATGACGAATGGGTTATGAGGGGTTAGAAAGGGGCCTTCCAGGACGTTGCGATGGGGCCGTGGTGAGTTTGAGTGCTGAAAAAAAACACAACAAAATATGTAATGTGTATGATCTTACGTAAGGGTCTCATTCTCTTAAATCAGACATGTTAGAAAATAAGAAGCTATTTACCCGATCTTAAATTAAGATCCTGCCGGCCTCTGGGTAGCATCCTAAGTACTAGGGCTCGATCGTCGACGTCGTCAACGTCGACGTCGTCGCTGTCCGACGGCGCCAGCGCCGGCGCAGGGCCCCCACCCCCGGTTCGAACCCCCCCCCCCCCCCCCCCTCGAGGTAGAGAGACCCCCCAGTTCGAAATTCCTCCCCATACAATTCGGGAGGGGGGCCCCTCCTGATTCGACCCCCCCCCTTCCCAGCGTCCACGGAGCGCGCTCTTTCGCAGGCTTCTCTCGCGGGATCCCCACCCCCACAATACCGTCACCACTCGTCCGCCCCCTTCGGTTCCAAAACCCCGCCCGTCCACGATCACAACGTCGGCCCTGTCGGGCCCACTCCTCCGCCACACCAGGCTCGCCGCAGGAGAGCACCGCGAGGGGCAGCACACCCTGCGCAACGGCCAGTCGGCCAGCTCAGGCGATGGCACTGCAACTCCTCCTCTCTCCCCCCATCTCCTCCTCCTCCTCCTCTCCTCCTCCTCCTCCCCCTCCTACTCCTCCTCCTACCCCTCCTCCCTCTCCCTTCTCCTCCTCCTCCTACTCTCCTCCTCCTCCTTCCTCCTCCTTCCCCCGCCCTTTCTCCCCCGCTTCCTCCTCTTCCTCCTTATCTTCTCCTCCCTCTTCTCCTCCTCCTCCTCCTCCTCCTCCTCCTCCTCCTCCTCCTCCTCCTCCTCCTCCTCCTCCTTCTACTCCTGTATCCCAAAGCTTGTCTCGAGGCCTGGCCGACCGAACGGCCAAGGCTGAGCAAACCTGGGAAGGCGGGGCAGGGGGGGGAGGGGTGGGGGGGGGCGGGGGTTATGTGTGAAGGGGTGTGGGGTGGGCGGTGGTTGGGGTGGGGGGTGGGGGGGGGGGGGGATGAGGTGAGGAATGGGGGAGGTTGGAGGGCAAAATCACAAGGGGCTTGCCAAGAGAAGCATGCTCAGGAAGCTTTTGCCCCCCCCCCCCGCCCCCCCGTGGAGGGGACCATATGCTCTCCCATCCCGAATACATTTCTGACAGCCCCCTGGGCCAGGGAAGTGCCCTGGCTGCTCGAGATCGGCGAAAGACCTCCAGGACAACTTTCCCTCAGACCCCCCCTTCACGGCGACCCTGAAAGATCGACCCCCGACCTCTCATTGGGGTGCGCCTTGCAGAAGTTCCAGGGGAATCCAGCCGCGGCGACGAAAAGCCCCCCAGAGGCCCAGGGAGGGCACGAAAAGCCCAAGACCCCTCCCCCCAAACAAACACTTTCTTCATGGTTCGTGACGAAATGAAATCCATCAGGCAACCTTCTCGTACACCAGTCAAATCGCAGCGCCACTGAGTTCTGAAGCAAAAGCTCGCCCCTCTCGAAAATGGCGACTCCGACGTTGCTGTGCGATTGGGGAACGATGAAGATAGTCGGCTTCCCAACTGATGGGAATGGGACCCCACGACGCCGAAGGTGGCCAAATGTATGTAAGCAGAAACAAGACGAACAAGAAGGAGGAGGAGGAGGAGGAGGAGGAGGAGGAGGAGGGGGACGACAGGGAGAAGCTGACGAGGAGGAGGATGAGGAGGAGGACGACGACGACGAGAAATGCGATTACTTGGCCCAGGCCGCGAAGTGCGAAGCGCGGTTATCTTCGCACCATGGGGGAGGGGGGAGGGACCCGGGCAATGGTGCGCGCCGCGCCGTCCTCTCCCCCCCTCTTCGCCTGTGAAGCCCAGAAGCTCAAAACCTTCAAAGCTGATGCTCGACCTCAACTCTGGAAGTTTCACCCCCTTCCAGCATGGAGGCTTCTGATTCTACGGGAGGGTCCCAAGAGAAGCGGGTCCTAGACCCCAGGGCTTTCCCTCGGACAGCTTCTCTTGTGCTGGGCCATCGTTTTGAAATTCACGGGGCCTGGGAAGGGCCTCGGGAGGCGGTAAGAGGGGGAAAAACCTCCCCAGGGCCCCTCTCCCTCAGGCACGTCTCTTGGGATGCGTTTCGACCAGAATCTCAGACGGAATCCAACCGTTGCGACGAGAAGCCTCCCAGAGGCCCAGACAAGCTCCAAAAACGCTCCAAGAGTTTGATCCTACGTCCTCGAACCCTCGCCGATCCACAGCGCGCTCATAGCCTGCCTCACGAGTCCATCCCGGCCAGCTCTCCGCCCGGGATCGAGTTCTGACGGTCCTGGGGCCCGCCGTCGAGGAGAACCCCATCGGCGAGCTTTTGGCCGATCCCCCGACCCCCCGATGGGCGGCCCGCGCCGCCTCCAAGGCCCGCGCCTTCGCCTGCCGGCAGGACGAGCCTCTGGGCCGGCCGCCCGTGACGACCACGTCGCAGGCGGAGGCGGCGAGGCAAGCCTGGCGGGGCGGCCGCCGGCGAGGCGGCGGCGTGGCAGAAGCGGCGGCGGCAGCAGCGTCAAGCGGTGGCCTGCGGCGGCAGGGGGGGCGGCGGAAGCGGCGGGAAGCCGCGGCGGCGGGACCGGGGCTGCGGCGCAGGTTCCAGAGGCACCGCAAGGTGCCTCCATGATGACCCCGTAGTCAACAGCTGAGGCCGCGGCGGCACAAGATGACGACGCGCGCTTCACGCTGATGCACATCGGCTCAGGCCCTGGTGCCCCGCGAGAGTCAGACTTCGACAGAGCTGGAACCTGTAAGGCTGACAGGCTCCAGTCTTCGAGGCCGAGGCCGCAACACGCATCTGCACAAATCTCAGACTAGATGGTGTCACGGAGCGCTGCACACGACATCGGGAGAGAATGTACTGGATTGAGAGTCTGCTTTGGGAGTGAGCAAATGGCCTCGGCCTAACATAACGAACTCCGCCGAATCGCCCGCCACTGCTGCTCTGGGTCGTGACGGAATGCCATCGTGCACATGATGATACTTCGTCCGGGAATCCCACCAGCCATCCAGCGGCCAATGGCCTAAGGTACTTCGCCTCACTGAACTTCTCCGACCGGTCCTTGAGATCCATGCGGGAAGAGTTGCCGCCTCGCACTCCCCCGCGCCGTAACACTGTCCCCAGTCGCCTGTGGACTGAACTGGCTGTTAGTCTGGCTTGGTGGCCGCCCCACTGCCAACCGCGGCGAGAAGGACAAGCCATGGACGAAAATCTTTGTTGGGCAGACGCTCTGGTTTGAGGGTTGAAGGGGGGCCTTGGGGCCCTGTTTGGGCTCTGTTGCCTGCTCTCGCGGGGCTCTCTGGCGGCATGTAGGAGCAGGAGCCGTTGGGGCCTACTGGTTCCATGTTGGGGCAGTTGTGAAAATCCTTGGTGGGCCTGGCTGGCCTTGGGATTTGGGGGTCTTCTTGGGCCCCTCCTGAGGCTCTATTGGGGGCCCTCTTTTAAGGGCAGAGGGCTCTCTCGGCACATTTTAGGGCCCAGCTTGAATCCTCTGAGGCCCATCGGAAACCAAAAAGGCGAGGAGGCCGAAATCAGAACAATCACGAGCAATTCACTGATTTGGGCCTCGAGGTTATGACCGTGAGGCTCCAGGACCACGTCACAGCCTCCTGGGGGCCTTCTTGGGGCCTCTGCAAGCCGTGCTGGAGGCAATCCAGGGCCAAAATTGCCCCTCGGGTGCCATCGTGAAGACCTGCCTTGCCTTGTCCTACCTTGTCTAGCCCTGCCTGGTGACGGACGGCCCCGCGGATGCGCAAATTCCAGTCTAGGACTTCTGCAGCTCGATGGGGCCGGCCCGCAACAATAAACGAAGGCCAACACTGTACAAAATACATACTATGTGTTTTTGGTCCGCTTTGGCGTCCCAAATGGCCCCCACAAAGACGACAATTTCCGCTACCACTTCTCCCTTGCCGCCGCCACTCTCCAAGATGCTCCCAAGACGGCCCCCGCGGCGCTCCCAAAATGTCCCTAAGAAGACAGACAAAAAACGCAAGAGACCTCCGACTCCAAGACGGCCCGAGAGGCTTATTCGATGTTCCACGAAGCCTCCAACAGGCCTACAAGACGGTCCAAGAGACCTCCAAGAGTCCCCGAGACGTCCTAAGAGATTCATATGATGACGTAGGAGGTAAGCTCCAAGAATTTGCCCAACGTCTCCGCATAGGCCCACACCCCGAAGAAGCCTTCAATGCTGCAGAAAAGTCTACTCGCTGCTCGGACGATCGAGAAAGGCCTCGACGGGTCCTCGCGACAGCTTCGCGTCGTGACGACGCCTGCGCTGCTTTCTGACACCCCGTGGATCGCTCAACCCTCAATGTTCGCGGCTTTCCGATAGCGGGATCGTTCAACGTCGGCCGATTCTGGGTCCCTGGCGGCGTTCAAACTTGAACGACCGCGCCGGGGTCGCCGCCAGGTCGACGGGGCGCGAACCTGCCGTAAGGGGGCGGAAGATGAGGAGAGCGAAAGCCATCCTGGGGGGGAAGTAGGGGAGGAAGCATATCGCCACGCCGGGCGTTGCGCCTGATCTGCGCGGGAGCCGCCGCAGCGTCGACGGGGCGCAAGACCTGCCCCCTCGATGCCCGCCTTCCGTACCTTCCGCACCTTCTGCGCGGCAGGTGCCGTCGCGACGCAGCCGCGGCGGCCGCCGCGGTGCGGCACCTGCCGTGCGGAAGGGGTGTGTGGTGGAGATTGAGGGCCGCACCCTCTCCCTGCCGCATGGACGGCCAGCGCTCCCGACCGGAGGATCCAAACACATTCATTTGGGAGGTCGGACTTCAAGTTCTGATGAGTAGATAACTATCCAAGACGATTTCGGATGGGGAAACAGGCAGAGTGGAAGACAAGAAACCTTCAGAGTGGAGGTCGGACCTCCGCCGTGGAGATATTCGACCCCCTCGAGGGATCGAAAGCCGTGAGGCAGGTACGCGTCGTGGCGACATCTGCGTTGGTTCCTTGACACCGCATGGATCCTCCGACCTTGGAGGATCGCGGATTTCCGATACCACAAATCGTTCGATATCGACCGATTCTGGCCTGGCGGTGTTCGGCCTGGAACGCCAGCGCTGGGGTCGCCACGACACGATTTGGCAACCACGTGTGAATCCTACACCTGCAGGTCACATTTGCGAAAAAACTGGCCGGGGGTCAGAGTTTGAAAGATGTCCGCAGCCTTGTGAACATCAGCTGGGGTGTCTGGTGCCCCTCCGTCGACTGGACCCGCAGGGGCCGCGGTAGCAAGTGGTCGCAGAACGAACCTGCCGCACCCTCTCCCTGCCGCATGGGTGGCCTCCGCTCCCGACCAGAGGATTCGAAACCCTTCCCTTCGGAGGCTGGACCTCCACTCAAAAGCTTTTTGGATCCTCCGGAGAAATCGAAAGCCGCCCCCTCTCCCTGCCACATGGGCAGACTCTGTTACCCGCCACCTGGCCGTGCCCGGCGCGACCCAGCGCGCGGGGATTGCCCCTCCAGGCCGAAAGCG